AGCCCAGCAGTGGGCGTGGCTTGCAACGGAGTCTCCGCCCACAACCAGCAGCGTCCCTGTCACCGAGTCCCAAAAACTCGTGGTGTGCGAAGGGCGCTGAATGCAACTGCGACCTGCAGGGCACGGACAGCTGAGCAGCGCCGGCGCCACGTCTGGTATGTGTTTTTATGTGTGTGTCGCTTTAATGCAATATTCCATTTAATCGCGTGCAAACTTTGTGTCATCACATTGTTGTTGATTTGATTTGTCATAATTCTGCATAATTAAAACATATACACTCACTACTGTCGTGTAATACAATGTAATTTAAGTTTTGGAGAATGTCTTGTTTTTTGAATACTGATGTTGGGTTTTAATATACTAACACCGATCATGACATGTTGAACAACACATGTAAGCTGCAGCCTGCCCACTTAATTTTACATGCAAATGTTAGCACAATAATTGAATCTCTGATTCTGATTCTGATTAAACAACTATTTCACTTCTTTACTTATTACAGAGACTCTTGTCTCGGGGGTTTTCAATGATTATTTGCTGTATTTCCATATTTTCCGACATTTACAAATGTACACGTTTTTTCTGACGTTAACAAATCGGCTCGGTGTTGTTTCTAATTTTAACTGTCGTCGTTGGCTTATAATAACCACTTGCCCCTGTTTCTGTCAGCCCGCTCTTAATGAGTCTGTCTGGGTGTGAGAAAGTCTGACAATAGTTATTCTCACTGCAGCTCACGGATGACCGAGCCGCTGTCTGAGAAGCATCGTTTCTGAAGGGTGAGTTCAAGGACACAAAAGAGGTCTCTGTTTTAGATCTATAAAAAAGTTTGCTCAATACTGCAGATATTAACTCACTGGGATCTGCAACGAAACATCACATTTTTACTTATTAAGTTTATTACAACATGTTTGTGAACGTTTAAGAAAATAAAACATCTAACTGTTTAATTGATATCAAAAACTTACGGCATAGCTGTTACAATAAATTTGTATTAATTTCATTTTTAAAAAAAAGCAACTAAGGTCAGATGTGACGGAGTTTTGAGTGTGTATGAAAACTCATAAATTTAGTTCAATTTGGCTCCAATTGAACAAATGTCCTTATGACGCTTATAAGACAAACATCTCCAAAACATGTTAAATAATCAGAAATGTGTTACGAAAACAAACTGTTATATAAGCACAGTCCAAGGAAGAAAGGAAGGAAGGAAGGAAGGATCTTGAAATTTATGTATGAATAAAGAATATTTATCTTTTGTGTGTTTCTTTTTTTCTGCTCAATAAAACTTGTCTTGTGTGGCGTGCTTTCTTTTTTGGTGCAATACATGGGATTTATGTTGTGATGGAGTGTTTATTAGAATAAATGGACGGAAACTAAAAGCTGTTAATTTTCGTCTGCGAGAATTCTGCAGCTTCATGAAGGGTTAGGTTTTCAAAGCAAATTAAATGCAATTATACTTAAATGTTGCCCTCACGCTTACACGTATTGCTTTCTCTCCAAAACAAACTTAGATGTTGTCGTAGCTCGTATCACTTTCTTCATTCGCAATATATTTACATGGACTGTACACTGTGAACCCAAAACAGTGCACGTTGCACATAAAATCATAACAACCTATTGCTCCGACGCTGATGGACGACTGCACGCACGCGTCCCAATTCAGCCATGCAAAAGCAATTGCTGCGTGGCACGCGCCTACCAGCTGAGGTTCGGGTCAAGGCGCGAGGAGCTGATCTGCAGCAACTCGGGAGATTTACTGTCAGACTTTCAAACTATTTTACAACTAGGAGTATTTGACCGCACTTAAATAAAATTAAAATGAAATAAAATAAATTAGGCAATATATAGAAGTTAGTTTATATAGCTACTAATGAAAGGTCTCAGGTCTACTTTAAATGCTGAAATAGTAAAGATTTCACTAATTTTGTATGCAATGGCTGAATATAAGTCGGTTTTCAAAGACTTTACACCGCAATCAAAAACCACATGGGTCGTTGAAGAGACCTGATCTTGAGCTGAGAGCGTCCTGATTTGAATGTTCCCGCGCAGCAGCAGATGCGAACATACAATAGACGTGGGGCCCACGCCTGAATAAACGAGTCCAATTTGAATAACAGTCGCACGTTTGACGCGTGCGAGAAATATCCCAGCTTTCCCAGGCTCGTGGTGGCCGAGGGGGAAAAACCGTTGACAACCCCACCCCTCACCCACCCTCCACCTTTATTTTCCAGTTCAATAGGGATTTAGCTCTTGACTGGTTCAAAGTTTGTGGGAAGCTCTTTGAGGGCCGCTGGGAAAAGACTAACAACACTCGATTAAACCCTGTGTTACAGCAGCCATCAGATGCTGCAGCTGCACCGCATACAGCTTAATGCTTGAGTCAATATTATTCTGTTTTAGGAGACCGGCTTTGACTGCCAGACATACAATGTGCTGTAATGTGATAAAATGCAGCAACAACAACAAAATAGAATTTGTGAACTTGGTGCAGGATTCCAGTCTTTACTTTAAAATCAATTGTTTGAGATTTATAGTGAGATAAATCATGTTTTTGGGTAAAGATACATAATAACAGAATATGATAATACTTTATTAGTTCTTAAGTGGACACATTTCCAGTACAGAGCAACAAAACAGACGGGGGTCTATAAAAACTCACAGCTACATTAAAACAAACACAGCAAAAGTAATAACAATATGAGGAAAACTGAATAAATCCCAGCATCCATATCAGCACAAAATGTATGTGCAAAAAGTGTCTTTTATTTCTGGTAAAAAAATTAAAAAATAAAAATACAGAAACCTAATGCAAGAAACAGAAGTTGTATGAAAAGTTAGTTTTTATTTGACATGTTGGGGGCAGTGCTGTACTGACATCAGAACCAACATGGTATAATATTGCTGTTATTAAATGTTCGGATTGTGCTGATGCGGCCTATTTCATTCTGTGCTACTGGTGCCTCCCTTAAAGCCTGTTAGAGGTCCATTATTGTCCACTTCCTCTGGGGAATTGTAACTACCAGACCTCTCGTGGGAATTTCCCCCCTCCCCTTCCTTCACAATTGGCGCGCGGTGTCTGTGACAGTTGGAGCTGCGCAACAGATGGGATAAGGAGGCACGCGCCAGGCACGAGCCTCTCCAAAACCCCGCCACCACCCTCCCATCCAACTCCCCTCACGACCACAGGGAAAGCAGCCGCATCCCACAGAAGCAGCTTAAAATCAGTCAGACTAATCTGACTGATTTTAGACACCAGGGAGATGTTGTTTTTGTTTCCCGTTGGTTCAAATATTGACAACAATTTATCAATAATCAGCGAAAAGAGGCCAATAATAATATTCATATGTTTTGCAAATTGGGTCTAATTTTGCACACAGATTTCATTTTTTAATAGAAAGTCTCAACTCGTTGACGTCACGTGAGCAAACTTCCTTTAATTCTAATTAAAAGGAAATGCGTGTAAACCGATATATTTTACAGGTTTTCAAAGAAAGTCGGAATCTCTAATCGAAAATCACTTGCATGGTTTCATAAATTAACGCAAATAGCAACAATTATTTTAGTAAAATGCTGTATAACATGTAAAAGAGATTAACTGTATAAACGCATAAAACAGTTTGTTGGTGTTTGTGTTGTTACATCAACTTCTGTCGGTTGGATTCTCATCCGCTTGTGGGCAGCAGATTTTTTCACAGTTACTTTTTACAACACAGGAGCTAAAAAGTTGAGAAACACCGTGAGAGGCCACTGTCCTTTTCTAAGTTTCCTCTTATGCGAGGCATGTGTGAAACAGTTGATAGGAATTAATAGAAGCTAAAATGATGACTTGAGCCTCAAACACCTTTACAGGTGGAGACTACAGGTGCGTGTCAGATTATGAAGCTCTCCTGCCACCATTTGGTGAGGAAAAGTACTACAGTTATAATTACTGCAGTTACAGCACATAGCTCAAACTTGGGCACATACTAGTGTGTCCCAAGATTGGTTCATAAAAATAAATACATGTTTATGTGGTACATATTTTAAAGCAACATTACTATAAAAAAACATTACGGAATATTTAACGTGATACTTGGTTGCCGTAACTGCAAATAGATAAAATTTAAATGCCCTAAATCAATTACCAACCTCTGCAATGTATAGTTTTGCTTTGCTTACAATGACTTACAAATATTTTAATAAAGTGAAACGTATTTGAAATTAAATGTTAGGCTTCCTCTGTATCCCTTTTGGCCTTATAATGTTAAGTATTGGCTGATAAATTAAACACTAAGCCATGGTGCACATCACTGATATTTATTTATTTACTTTGAGGAAATCAGAATTCAAATGATGAGATAATTTGGCTGGTAAATGTTAAATAATAAACATACTTTTGTCACCTTAGGAAAAAAAAATCCATGTAGAATACATCCTTTTCGTCACTAGTTCATTTTGCAATACAATAATTTTTTGTTGTTTCACAGTTACATCATTGCATTTGTAACAGTTTATTGCATCTGAACCCATCTACAGTCTGGTGGTTTTCACAGTTAAACTATTTTGATATTCCAATATTGGGTACACAACATGTTATTTTAAATCCTGGGAAAATTGTAAGGTACTATAATTCAAATCACACTAATACTCACTAACTGAAAACAATGGGATAACACGTATATGCAAGTTAAATACTGTTAATGTAAATTTTATATTTCTTATATATATATATATATATATATATATATATATATATATATATATATATATATATATATATATATATATATATATATATATATCTTCAATGTGGAAACCACATGTGTTTAACATTTTAATGTACAATTTACGCTGGTGGAGCTTTTGACACTGGATGCTTCGAACAGTCTTAAATTAGCGTTTAGTTGTAGACACACATCCCATTGGTTAATCATTTCCTCCGTTGAACCACCCGGGAATTACTGAACTTCCAGCATCTTTTCCGTACTGCTCCTTTAATTTGTGAGCCGATTTTCAGCGAGCAGCAACTTGTTACAGGCTCAGCGGTCCTCCCTCTGCTGGATTATTTATTAGGCGCTCCGTCCCATGTCGCCATCTGCTCGAAGGAGAAAAAAACAACAAAAAAAACAACAGGACTCTTCGAGCCACATGACAGGAGACATTAACTCGGTAGAAAAAGTAAACACACAAAATAAAAATAGTTTATAGGACTCAGAAGATCTTGTGCAACAGGTGTTCAGGAGAATCCTGCTTGTCAGAGCTAAAGCGGATAACTCATTCAGCAAAGCAGAGGTTAGTTCAAACAGCGTAGGATGCAGTGAGTTTTTAATCCAGTATGTAAAGAAGATGACATGTTTATTTCTGGGGCGTTTTCCGCTGTTTATCGTCGCTTTATAGAGACCCATGGAGCAATAACCGAGCTTGTCCACAGAATTAACCCGGTGACTGACATGTTCAGAGGCTTTATGGATGCAGCGCTGCTAACCCTGTCCGCCCGGTGAACTGAGTCAGGGAGGGGGAGGGGGTCATAGCAGGCAACCGAGGGACGGAGCCGCCTAACCCGCAGCCGGCTGCAGCCATGGTGGTGGAGGGCGACAGGACGCTGGTGGCAGCCAGGCAGGGAGACGTGCAGACGCTCAAAACGCTCTTAGCCGCGAAGGTTCTCAGCAGCGACGTGAAGGATGTTCTGGGGGCTTCGCCGGTCCACCACGCAGCCCGGGCCGGGAAGCTGACCTGCCTGCGTTTTCTGGTGGAGGAGGCAGGGCTGCAGTGTAACTGCCTGGCAAACAACGGGGCCAGTCCGGCCCACGATGCGGCAGCCACGGGCAACCTGGCCTGCTTACAGTGGCTGCTGACCCAGGGGGGGTGTCGGCCGGAGGTGAGTAACCTCAACCAGACACCTCAGTTCTGTTTATTCTGACCTGGCGTTAACTCTATGGAAGATTATTATTACTATAGTCACAAAAAGATTATACTATGTTTATATAACATGTCAAAATAGTAGCTAATCTAGCCAGAGGCACGTTGCTCTGCAATCTAGTTTCGTTGTTGTTGTTTTCAAACTTTTTGGAATTAGCAAACAACAGTCGTGGCCTCTATGACTAAGAAGTCTGTTGGCTTTGCATGACTGGTTGAAGAATGTGGTTTAAAATGTTACTCTGAAGATAACATTTCCACGGTTTTGTAAGTTGAAAAAAGTTAACTGAATAGCCAGATTAGACGTCAGATTTCAAGTGGGAATGTCAGAAGTTTCTACCAAAAACTGAACTCATAATCTAATATGTTGACCCTCCATCTAAGACTTGGTGATTGCAGCAGCAGCAACAGTGTATGCCATTAAAACTTTTACACACTGTTTAATCTGCTAAAGCAAACGTGTAACCAAGATTTGAAAGTGCAGCTATGCAGAAACACACTATTGTCAGCTTGAATTGCTATTAGTTATTAACCTGGGCACAAAGCACATATGTTAACAAACCCCTTTGACTTTCTAACTTTCTAACTTGAACTAGAAGTCATTTAAATTGGTTTAATCCCACATCTAAATTCCAGTTTCAATAGCAAATAGACCACAGCATAAAAATCAACCAGCAATTGCTCCTGGTTCACGTTGCAGTTCATACTGGGAGTCCACTTCAGTTCATACTGGGAGTCCACTTCAGTTCATACTGGGAATTCATAGAATTTTTTTTCCCCACTCCACTGATTTTGAGATGTGTCCAATCAAGCATTATAATCAAGCTAATGATTAGCGATTCGTCTTTATGGCTGTTGGAGCTTATTGTCGATACATCACAACAAATGTATCTTACAGAATAATTGATGCCATAGTGGTTACCAGTAAAGGCAGTTCAAGTACCACTAGTGATCCTTGCACCATAGTTTGACAACCATGGTGCAAGGACATTGGTTTCCAAGTGTCAGAGTGCTTAGTGTTGGTTTGTAGCTTACACGAAATTTTCCGTTTATTGCTACAAAAACTACTTATGACATGCAAGCCCCAACATTATGTAATTTATCTGAGAGATCTTCTGAACAATCAGCTGTTTGTTGAATATAAAAGATTACCGGTACTTCATCAGTACTTTTATTGTTTTGCTTCTTGCAAAAAGTAAATAATCACTGATGAATTATGCAGTAACTGGTGGAGTATGATCATCTTACAAGATGTTTACTTTGCCACTCTGACTTTCGAAGGTCACACAGACAGTCTAAGACACTGGGTTTAATATAATATATATGAATCCTTTCAATGGGCAGATGGTCATAATGTTATGTCATAATATGTGCCTATAGAAGTCTATGTGGGTACTTTTGTCATTAGCAGGAAAACTAGTTATGCAGCCCTGAACTGTTTTAGATACCAGCCTACTGTGACTTTTAAAATTTTCTTGAGTTTGTTGCTTAAATTGTTTTATTGTGATCAACTTGCCAAATATTGTCAAATGATAGTAAATGTTCTCCAGCACTGTTGCGATTTTGGTCAAGCACACAGAAGAGCGGCTACCACAAATGAAAGAAAAAAGACATTAGAAGAAGAATAAGTTGACGCAGTCAAATGAAATAAAATCAGATTTTAGTGTTTAATGAGAAAATGAGCATCTTGTATTTACAGCTAAAGTCTTCTAGGGTTTGTCTCTACAAGCTCGGTATTCTGTTCTATTCTCTATTCTCTGCAGATCCTTTCAAGCTTGGTTAGGCTGATCGGGCAGTGTTGGTAAACAGCCATTTTTAGGTTTGTCTAGAGATGTTCGACTGGATTTAAATCTGGGCTTTGGCTGGGACACTCAGGGATATTCGCAGACTGCTCCTTTAGTCACCGCTTTGTTGTCCCTTACAGTTGGATTTGGGTCATAGTTGTGTTAGAAGATGATTGCTCACCTTACTCTGAGTTTGAGATCACTGAGCACGCTTTCTTGAAGAATCCTTGCTGTGTTTGCTGATGTTGTCTGTCTCTCTGTACAGACTGCTTCCATAGTTCCTGCAGCAGAAAAAACACCCAGCAGCACAACGCTGCCACCAACATACTTCACAGCTGGTGTTGCAGCTAAGGTCATATATTTTACAGTAGTGGTAGCTGTTGTTTTTTAGTAGGCTTTGTTTTTACATGCATTTAAAGTACTCTATGTCAATCTTTGTTTCCA